TAAATATAAATATGTTGGTTTTACATATATATATATATATATATATATAGTATGTGTGTATATATATACAGTATATACACTTCCGTATATCAATGTTCTTCTTTTCTTCAACAATAACTATTTTAACAGAGACGAAAGGAGTTTAATTCAGAATAACATGACTAAAACGTGAGAATACCTTTGTCACATTTCTATTTTTAATTCAAGTGTGAGTGACCCTCGTTCATTCTGAAACCACACCCGTGCTTGCAATCGGGCACTAATTATTTTAGATAGCCAATTTTCTATGGGCCCTCTGCAGTCGCAGGAAGCACTGCGATGATCTGCAGGAAACACTGAGATCAAGACAAGCTACAGGTTTGAGGGGTTTTAAAGGTTCAACTGCTGCATTCAGTTTAGTGACAGGAAAGATCAAACACATTGACAGGAAATTAAATTACACTCAGACTGAGAGATAAAAACCTCTGAGGACGGATTATCAGCTGCAGCAGGAGAAAAGAACAAAAGAGATAAAAGAGAGAGCGTGAGGAGAAACAGAAACATGAAGGTTAATATGAAGTCAGATCACAGACTCATCACACTGACATCTGAACGTGAAATGCTTTCAGAGTTATCAGTAAATATAAAGACAGTAACATCAGGTTATTACGTTTGTGGTGTTAAACTTTTTCCATGATGCTAGCACCTAAACAAAATCCCGAGGATACATCCTCTGAGGACCACGAATATTCACTGCATAGTTCAAAACAATCTGCCCAACTGAGACTGTGACTTGAGAAGAGTTGTTAAGTGTGGAACTCTGTCCTGGTTCTAGAAGCACTTTACCCACTCTGTCTGTCTGCTGCTCTGTTTTATTGTGTAAACAAATAAATCTAAATCTGATTTGTGTATTAAAAGAGACTAAACAGCCTACTTTTACAGAAAACCACGGCTTTCTGTAAAGAAAACGAGTACAAGGTTCAACCCCTGTTATTTTGCTCAACAAAAGATCATTTTGCTGTACATCAGTTTGTTTCTCTAGGTTGTGAAATCTTAGAACCTGGATATCTCAAAACCACCCAGAGAACAGATCAAACCTCATCTGGTGTGTGTGTGTGTTAGCTGCCGTTTTCTTTCTTTTTTGTTTTTCTGTCCTACAGGTTCCTGTCCAACACGTCTTTCTCCGGTCTCACAGGTCCAGTACGAGTCCACCAGAACAGGTCTCAGGTCCTCACCTCACAGCGTTTCCACATCTGGAGCTTACGACGGGACGCGCTGGGTCAGCCCACCTGGGTGACGGTGGGCAGTTGGGAGGGAGGCCAGCTGCAGGTGGAGGACCAGGTAGTCTGGCAGGAGGCCAAACCTCGCCACACAACAGATGGCATGAGCGGGAGGACGAAGGGCCGCTGGAGGCCGGGGATGCCGGTGGTGGGGAGTCGGGTTCGGGTGGTCACACTGGTAGAGCATCCCTTCGTTTTCACAAGGGACGTGGACGAAGAGGGCAGCTGCCCAGCCGGACAGTACTGCCTGGACGCCAGCACCAACAGCTCGGAAACATTGGAGAGATTCTTCAGGGAGGTGGCCGGAGGGAACAGCAGCTTCCTGCCTGCAGAGCACAGCAAGTGTTGCTACGGTTACTGCATCGACCTGCTGGAGAAACTGGCCGAGGACCTGGGCTTCGAGTTTGACCTTTACATCGTAGGAGACGGAAAGTACGGAGCGTGGAAGGGGGGGCGCTGGACTGGGCTCGTGGGAGATCTTCTGAACGGACTGGCAGACATGGCCGTAACCTCCTTCAGTATCAACTCCGCTCGGAGCCGAGTGATTGACTTCACCTCGCCCTTCTTCTCCACCAGCCTGGGCATCCTGGTGCGCAGTAAGGACACTGCGGCCCCCATCGGAGCCTTCATGTGGCCCCTGCACTGGTCCATGTGGGTGGGCATCTTCCTGGCGCTGCACATCA